TTCGTATGATGGTTTTCTTTTATTTCAATTGAGCTCCAGGCACCCATATGAGTTTTTGTATACCTTCTTTAGAAGTTGATAACATACAAAAATGTAGGATTTTATAAAGTTCAAACAAAATTTTGATTAAACATTTCTTCTTAAAATTAAAACGGCATAGGGATTTCTCGTTTAATTTTAATAAACTACGCTGTTAGTCTCACAAGTCTTTATAACTTCAAAGTGCTCCAAAGTTTGTAAATCGATAGATTTCAACAAACAAAATTTGCTTTGTATACTATGAGTCTAGTAAAGGGGAAAAAATGTCGTTCGTTGGAAGAGAAAAATCGAATTGGCTTAACTGATATTTTGAAAAGAATTTTGATTTATAGAGAAAAGCATGTCGAAACTTTTGATTTATTTAATTTGTTTTGCTCTATTTTATTTATACCACTTAAGTAATGAGTGGGAAAATTGGATATATCACAAAAAATCAATACGGATGATACTAAAATAATTAAGAGTGGTTATATAAAAATTGTATTAAATTCTGAGTTTTCCTGCATTTTATTGTACTTTTTTTATAGCGGAAATAGTACAGTTAACAATGATCCTGAACTAGATTATAAATGTTACATGCTACACACATTTATTATGGATCTAGGCAGACAGAAAGTCAAAGATAACAAATGATAAAAAAAAACATTTTCTTCCTTTCAACTTTTACAACATGTGGACCAAAATGTACGAGTTAACAATATGAATCCGAGCCACTTCGGAAATTTCCGGGATTTTACCGCACGGATTCGGGAGCAATCGGATGTTTTCGGAGATATTTCCCACGCTTTAAACTTTGACGTTTGTCATTTCTGACGGTCATGTCAGTGAACGTACTAGTGCTGTTTTGTGAAAATGTACCAAAAAACTAACAGTCGTAGAAAAAGTATAGTATGCAACACGTTCGGTAAATTTTTAAGTCACTCGTTTATTAAACGCTCGCTAATCTGCGTTCCGCTCGTGTCAAATAAACTCATGAGTCAAATGCCGTTTACCGCACTTGTTGCATAATATACTATTTTCTACTCCCGTCTGTAAAATGCCTAGTTACACACTGATTTAGCATGCGGGAAGCGTCACTTTGCCACGTCAGTTTCGTTTTCCACGCATCTGAGCCAATTCGGACATTTTCGTGACTTTACCGCACGGATTTGGGAGCAATCGGATGTTTTCGGAGATATTGCCCACGCCTTGAATTGTGACGTTTGCCAATTCTGACCGTCATGTCAGTGAATGTATTCGTGTTGTTTTGCGAAAATGTACCTAAAACTTAACGGTCGTAGAAAAAGTATAGTATGCAACACGTTCGGCAAACTTTTTAAGTCACTCGTTTATTAAACACTCGCTACGCTTGTGTCAAATAAACTCGTGAGTTAATTAATTCAACAATGTTTAGATTAATACTTTTTCATTGAAAGGTAATACGGTGCAGATGACGTTCTAATTAATGTAACTACCGATTTTCACGTATTCGGAAAAGCTTCAGAAATCTTCTGGAAAGTTAGGTATTTCACCACCGTAATACGGAAGCACGCGGAACCGACTACATTTGTTTAATTAGCATAGTTAACGTGCCTATACGATACAAAGTACCCGCGCAACACTAAAGAAAATCTCCTTTGCCTATTTCATCTTACGTGTAATGCCGACAATGGGACGGAATTTAAATTGTCCTAATCAGAGACTTCGAATATTTAGTTCCAACTTCGCTAGAAGTTGCGTCTCGAGAAGTTTGTAAGGCTTGGGGTGTAAATTTCATCTTTGCGTCGAAATAGGTAGAACAGTGGTTATAAAATAATACAAGAGACATTACAATTTCGCAAGATTTTGTTATGTTGTTATCAAACGATATATATTTTCTGTACTGCATAATTAGTTGATTAAAATATGAAAATAAATGTAGTTATAATTTTTTGGTTTAATGGATGGTGGTAAAGAAAAGAGCGGAACCTGTACCCAAAAAATGGTGGATGGAAGTTGACTACTAGCGTCTTTTGCAGCTGCAGATTTTGTTTCATATAAAAGTAATGCAGCAAAGTTTCAAAACGGGGACACCTAATACACATTACAACAATTGTTATTCCATATGTATATTTAGTGTATTAAAAGACACAGACACAGACAAAGACGGCTATTTTTTACGTGCCTCCTGGACGAATGTCATATATATTGCTCATAGAAATGCACATGTGGGACCCTTTCTAAAAACACAAAAAAATACGTTTGTTGATCAAATAACTTTATTTTAATTTAAAATACTTTTTTTTAACTCACAAACTTTTGAAAAATATTAAAATTTATACAAAATATTCTTGAATAAAAATATAAAACTCATTATAAAAAACTGCCTAAAGTATTTGTTAGAATTTTTCCTTTGTGTGGTAGATCTGGAAACATGTTGCATGCGACATGCATTTGTCACACTCCATACACATATATATGGATACCTTTCTTTGTTTTTCCTTTGCTGTTGTGTGTGAGCATACAACACATCTTCTAGAGGCGGTTTTTGTCTTTTCAGTTGAGGGAACTAATGCGGAGAAATGTCTGTTCTGTTGTCTAGCTATATCAGCAGTTGCAGAAACGGAAGTGGGCTTGTTGGCATTGGATTTGTATCTGCAACAACAAAAATTGACGTCATTAAACAGAAGAACTTGAAAATAGCAATATATGTGAATAATAGCCAATAAAATTTTTGTTGAAACTTAGCAAGCGGCACTGGGCAAATCTGTTTCATCAAGAACATGTCATATGCATTCAACACACAGATATCCAATGTATGAAAAAATAATTTCTTGTACCATTTTATGGTCTTTCGCATACAATCAATGCTGTTCATCATCATATGCGCACGGTCTACTGCTCCCATTTGTTAATTATAGTTAGTATAGTTAGATTTATTCAAGGGGTCTTCGGTGGTATTGTCAACCATTTTGTTTTTGTACATTATTGTAATCATCATCACGTCTCTCCTGTCTTTCTACTTCAAAACCAGGCAGATGTCCGAACTTCTCCAGTCCACTTCATCTTTTTCTAATTTTTCTCTAAAAGAAGTCTTCCTTCAAATACTCTCATCAATCACTAGGTTTTCAAAAGGATGTATTTGTGATTTAAACATTTGTTTTATTTGTTCCAACACTTCTCTTACTTTATGCAATCTATCACCAGTTTTAGCATTCTCGTTGTTTCACAAATGCAAATTTTTTATACTTTGTAAGTATCTGTCTCTTGCCATCTTTTGTCTAAATATTGGAGAGTATGAAAGAGGATCTGTTGACCAATGTTCTTTTATTTCAAACCTTCTATTTCTACTCATGATCATAGTCACCCCAAGAAATGTGAAAAACTCATGCAAATCAATATCTTTCCATTTATTTTCATTTTTCTGTATAGCATATATGTTGGTCTCGGAAATTATGAAACGTGCTGTATCTTCAGTAATAAGATTCAAAAGATAATCTATTTCAGGTGAGTCTTCTTTCAATGTCATGTCCTTTACTCGACTCTGGCTGTCATCAAAATCATGCAACTTAGGCACAAAGTTCTTTTTTGTCCAGTTAATATGTATGTCACTATAGTCCTTGGTGCCACTATCATTGTGAATGTTTTCGTTTAAGGTATCATTCCGACTCTCTAAACTTACATCTTGCAATTCTTCAACAATGTCTTCTGCAGACCTGCTTCCTCCATCTCTGACATCACTTGGCAAATATTCACTACTTCTATTAATAAATGGATCCTCTTCACTATCTGATCCCAGACTCCTTACTTCCGCGTCTGTAAGTCTGCAATAATCGCTTATAGCGTTATTATTTGTTTTGGTCTTTTTCGCCAAGGTCCAGCATCGCACGACATTTTGAATGCAACTAAAACACTTACAAACTCGTGGTGTCAGGTTTTTGAGTTGTTTGACAGATGCGCGTGCTTCTCTTGTTGAGTGTGTGCCATACAGACGAGAGTCACATACAGCTGATATATATTTATTGATTTATAGTGCAGGCGCCTATAAAGCCTAAAAAAAAACATGGCCTATATATCGGTCAGAAGTCTTTGAGGCAATTTTCCCACTGTCAGATATATATGTCAACCGTCTTGAAAGGGTTAACATAATCCTATGACGTACATTTGGGATTATGCATTTCTGGACTATAATAAACGGCCAATAATAAAATCCACTAATTTCTGTTTGAGCGGTAGAGTCGTTTATAGTCGGCAAGCTGTTTCAGACAGTCGGAGAAAAGAAATGCACAAAGTTTAACTAACCCATAAATCTCGATAATTCGATCTGAATCAAACGACATCTTTTCCATACAATCAATTACATCCGGTTGAATATTTCTTCCATTTTAGTCTCATGAATATCGCTGGAATAATAAATGGAACCGTTTTATAAATCATCCCCTCGATAAGTTACCGCACTTTATTAAATAGGATTAAGCTCCCTTTTTTCGGCTCGGAATTTTCAATCTGAGGTCGCCTTTATTTACATCTCCGAATGATATTGGATTTGGATTTGACTCGGAAAAAATTGTTTTATGGATTTTTCGCTGTCAGCGAGATGTGCCGAAGAAATGGGGCTATAATGGCGGCCTCGATGGATAATAACCGTATCTGAAGCGGGTATGAAAATTAAGGACACCGCTAAATATTTAAATCCAACGTCAAAATGGGGGTCATAAAAGGAACTTTCAAATGAGCTATCACTCGATCGGTCCCTGCATTTCAATGTTTTAATGGAGCAAACCAATTTCTTTCAAGAATTTTCGATGTCAGTATAGAATTCTATTTAAGCAATGTTTCAGTTCACTATTTATAGGAAAACTTACTGTAACCCTGGCGCAATTTATCGACAATCAAAACAAATAAACACCTGTTACAATCGTATTTACATTTATCTTGAAAATTCCATTAAAACTTATTTTATCTTGATGTGCAGACATAATATAAGCTGGCATCGTATTTGAAATTGCGCATTTGAGTATATCCAAAAATGACGAAACTGAAAACATTAGTTGTTTCATTCCTTTGCGTTGCAATTGTTTGCGTAAGTAGCTTTGCCACTATGGTTAATCAAATTGTTTTAAAATTTTCTCTTCAGTCATATATGCTGACATTTCGGTTTGCAAAGTAATTTCTTTAAAAAACTTATTACAGGAACTCGCCCGACAATGAACAAAACTTAAGTACTAAATTTTATCTTTTCCATCTGTGCTCACAAACAAGGCAGTCTTATTTAATAATGATGATGTCATGATAAATTTTGATATGATATTTATAGGTTTTCCGCCCGTAAGGCTAATTTGGGATAGTGCATTTAAAACGCTTATTTTAATCAAGGGCATTCCACAATCCGGCACGTCGGGTAGAAATATAAATGGCATCTTCGATCCAGTTATTGAACTACTAGATACGCTTCGAGATATCGTCGACAAATCCGTAAATGATGCTTTATTGGATATCCAAAATTTAATACAAACAATTTTGGATACAACTAAACAAACCGTGGACTCAATCACAAAATCTCTTACGGATACGAGTGCAAGTTTGATTCAGCAGATCAATGATATGGTTACCTCAGCCACCGGATTAGGTAAGATGTTACGGGGGCTTGTGCTCCTCTGTTATACTTCTTCTCACGGTCCAAAACAAGAATGCTTCCCTTGCTACCATCATGAGACCCCTGTTACAAAATACTTATATGGCCCTTATTTGCATTAATTAAATATCCCAACTTTTTACAACTTTTAACTTTTGAGCTGCTTTTACGGACAGCAGATATGTACGTTTTTCTTTTCGTCATGGGTAGGTTAGGTACATTCCGGCCATAACCGACTTTTCAGTGAAAAGTGTAAGAGTTTAAAATTAAAATTATTAAATACCATTTCGTAGTTTCCGGACAATAATCCCGGAAAAATCACAAAATTGTATTGTTAAAAGCCAGTGTTTATCATGTTGGGATGACCAATGAGCGTCTGGGACTTTTAAATAATTACCAACATTTATGTCACGATAATAAGCACAGATAATAAAGACAATGTTAGCAATGATTATTATAAGTTATATGTATTAACTGCCAATCTTATTCTTTTTTTCAATTGTAATCAAAAAGCAAGTTCAACTTTAATCTGTTTATAAATCTAGAAAATTGCGTCGAAATATAAGTTTTCACAATTCACTAAGCAAATAGGCAATTGGTGGTAAACAGGTATAAGCGCATGTTCCGTGTTAAAGCTTTTCAAACCCTTTCACATAAAAATTCATTACTTTCACGGGCACTAGTTTTGGTTAGTTTGGTATATTATGCGACAAGTGCGGTAAACGGTATTTGACTCACCATTTGATAAACGAATTTACCAAACTTGTTGAATACTATTCTTTTTCTACGACCATCACGAAAAAAATCACAATTCGACAAACTAAAAATAATTATAGATTATTGGATTACCAAATTTCGCACCATTCAAAACAAATATTTACTAGTTGCCATTAAACCTATGCGATCGGTTCTGCTATTGTTGTCTCTTTTTGACTTTATACTTTAGACAGAGAGAGATGTATTATTGGATAAGTCATATAAAAAACGTTTAACCACAATTTTAAAACGTTATGTTAAGTTTTACAATTGATAATTAAGTAGTTTATTTAAAGAAAAATACTGTAATTGGAAGAAAAATCATCCAAGGAAAGAGCATTTAAGAAGAATAAATTTTTAAGATTGTATAAGCCAGAAAAAGCAGGACCTGTTTTGCTTGTACTGATCAGACAAGGGTATTTGAAAATCGTACAATTGGTCTTGGCAAGATATTAATATAAAAACTGTAAAAAACACAAAAGTTCATATGAACGGTATGTAAAATTTCTATAAAAAACTTAAATTATAAATGTCACTTTACTTACCGGCTAGTCCACTAGATGTTAATTGTCCGAAATATTGGATAACATTTTTCTGTGTATTAGTTTTTCAGTACATTTTTGCTTAATTACACGCCGATCTAGGGTGCGGGAAGCGTCACTTTACCACGTCGGTTTCGTTACCCACGAATCGGAGCCACTTCGGACATTTCCGCGATTTTACCTGACGGGTTTGGGAGCAATCGGATGTTTTCGGAGATTTTACTGCACGGTTTGAATTTTGACGTTTATCAATTCTGACGGTCAGTCAGTGAATGTATTCGTGTTCTTTTGCAAAAATGCACCCAAAAACTAATGCACAGAAAAATGTTATGCAATATATCAGAAAATTTAAATACTACGTGTCATAAGCTACAATTAAAATCTAGTCTACCAGTCGGTAAGTACAGTGATATATATAATTTAAGTTTCTAATAGAAATTTTAGATATCGTTCGCGTGAACTTTAGTGGTTTTTACAGTTTTCAACTTCCATGTCTCAGTACAATCAACGCAAAATTGATAGTTGGGACCTGCTTTTTCTTGCTTATATGTATATGATTTAATCCTCTTAAAAGCTCTATCCTTTGTAAAAGTTAAATAAATCACAGAACGTTTTAGAATTTCGTTTATTCCGTTGGTTATATGACATCTCTCTCTGTGTAATGTACACAGTTAAACAGAGACAACAATAACAGAACCGATCGGAACGTAAACGAATAGGTTTAATGACAACTAGTAAATATTTTGTTTGAATGGTATGAAATTTAGCCATCCGATTAACTGTTATTATTTTTAAATTGTGATTCTTTCGTGACAGTCTTAGAAAAAGTATAGTATGCAACACGTTTGGTAAACTCTTTATCTCACTCGTTTATGAAGCACTCGCTCCGCTCTTGAATAAAATGCCGTTTACCACACTTGTTGCATAATATACTATTTTCTTATTTCTCTTATACGCGTATTTATTATTAATCCATGATTTGTTTCGGATTGCTATTGATAATCGGGAATCAAATTTTATTCTTCAGGAATAGACATCACCCCTTGCGTAGGTGACAGCGTACAGCAAATATCCGATCTGGAGGCGGATGTATCCTATACCGTAACCAATTGCATCGATAACGCGGCCAATAGAACTTTATCGGTTCTTAGAAAAACGATCGATGAAATCAACGGCACGGTGGGAGAAGTGGAAGATCTATTTTCCTCATTCGACAATTGTCAAGGTCAATCCATTCTAGTTCAACCGGTGTGTATAGCGTCACTTACTGTCGAGGTGACTCAAGCAATCGCGTCCATACCCATCGAAATTGGAAAATACGTCGCTAACGTATCTACGACGGCTGCTCAGCTAACCGTAGAAATAGCTGGTTGTCAAGCTAACGTTATTGAAGATTTTTACAAAAATGGAGCCGAAACGGTATCAAAAGTGACAACTTGTGCAAAAGCCATAATAAATCCACCTGGGAACTTTTATTTGTAGACTTGAATTTACATCTAATACTAGCTTTAGCTTTGATGTATTGTACGTATAACATGTAGGTACGTTGTAGTTCTATAATCCAAAATATTTAACGTATACCATGGACTCTGAACTATTCCTCGATAAATACAATTGTGATTTCCTATTTGGCGATGTTTCGGATTTACTTTTCTACTACGGACCAAATAAACATAGACTGGCGTATAATTGTTATTAAGTTTCTCATTTTACATGCATGCATTTTGCATGCCAGTTTTACATAAGTTTCCTAGGAACTTGATGAGTATAGCAAGAAATTATGCTTCCAAAATTAATGTGGAATGGATTTTTTTCAATGTGGCGCAAATCATACTGAAAGAGAAAGTAATTTCGGAGATCTATACATTAAGGAAGCGGTGTCTTAAATGAGAAAGTTTTTTAACTAACCTGTAGTTGAATATTAATTTTGTATATTCGTTTCTGGTCAAAATTCGTGTCTTAATAAATTTAGTATGAAGAATTTTGGAGAGTTGGAGAAAAAGGGAGCGGAATACATGTTTCACTATTATAAAATTAACCACCACAGATAAATTACTAAACTAAAGATTTGGCAATTATAATTTGACTCGAATATTTATAAAATGTATCAAAATTAGAAAGTAATAAAAAAAAGTTTGAAATTTGCTTTCGAAAACCACAATTTTTGAAGTAAATCTCATCCAGAATGTTTGAACATTATAAAATAGCTTGTACATTCCATCTCGCTAGGTATATTCACAATGTCCGACTTTCGCAATATTAACAAAAGCTACTGCGATTCCGTAAGTGATGAATACAAATCTCCTGGGGAATAATAGCGTTAACCCCGAAGTAGACAGGGAAAGTTGCCAGGCGAAGAAGCGTACAATAACACACCTAAAGACTTGGAATAAATTAGCAGCGAAGTCGGTTTACCCTTCTCGTGGCTCACTAAATCTTGGTTTTGTACAAACATATTACACACCCTCGGAATCGCGGGGGTTGAATTTAGTTTCGCACAACTAATTCCCGTTCTAAACGCATTGTATCTCTCTGGACAAGGAATTCTGAATGACGCCCTGATTTTAACCGGGCGAGGGATTCTTTGGATGTGATCAAGCATTGATAATTGGCCATATTTTTGATATTATCCCAGTTTTAGTTTAAAAAAAAAGTACAATCGGATAACTCCTCAATTTCGAAGTATCCGGACTCTTTTCCCCTTACTCTTTCTAAATGGTGCTGTCATCTCTCATTGAATGTCGAAACTAAATCTAAATTGTGACATATCAAGATCTGCCCATGGCGTCGACTGATGAAGGGGCAATCAAACTATACTACTTAATCATGTGGTTGCCGGAATGTAAGGTATAGAGTCAATCAACGCACAAGAGATTTGTAATTAAGATCTTTTCTCTAAAAGCTACGACCTCATTGTTCCCAATTAACCCTTGACCAGCGACTATTCAAGACACTTTTCTAAAATTTATTTCTATTTTTACAGTAAACTAACCAAAACTAACAAGAATAATAAAATTATATACAATATATTAGCGCAATTTTTCACACTTCGTGGTAGTTACAGCTTATATAACAAACAAACAAACAAAAATATAATTTTTTAACAATACAACATACCCCGACTCCTCGGTGGGTTGACTCACTCTTTGGGGTAGCTCTGTATATAAAACGTTGGAAGCAACGGATATATGATATACAACACACTTAACCTTTCGTTCCTCTGATCCCTTTTACACACATTTTAAATATTATTTCTGGCATATACCGTCACGGCTGGCGCGGATGTAGTCCAATCTGGACGTCCAATTTTCGATGACTTTTTCCAACATTTGTGGCCGTATATCGGCAATAACACGGCGAATGTTGACTCCAAATGGTCAAGCGTTTGTGGCTTATCCGCATAGACCAATGACTTTACATAGCCCCACAGAAAGTAGTCTAGCGGTGTTAAATCACAAGACCGTGGAGGCCAATTCACAGGTCCAAAACGTGTAATTAGGCGGTCACCAAACGTGTCTTTCAATAAATCGATTGTGACACGAGCTGTGTGACATGTTGCGCCGTCTTATTCAAACCACATCTCCTGGACATCATGGTTATTCAATTCAGGAATGAAAGAGTTAGTAATCATAGCTCTATACCGATCACCATTAACTGTAACGTTCTGGCCATCATCGTTTTTGAAGAAGTACGGACCAATGATTCCACCAGCCCATAAAGCGCATCAAACAGTCAGTTTTTCTGGATGTAACGGTGTTTCGACATACACTTGAGGATTAGCTTCGCTCCAAATGCGGCAGTTTTGTTTGTTGACGTAGCCATTCAACCAGAAGTGCGCTTCATCGCTAAACAAAATTCCCTTATGAAAATCGGGAACAACGCCAATCTCGTTTTGGGCCCATTCGACGAATCTACGCCTTACTTGATCGTTTGGCTTCAATTCTTGCACAAATTGGATTTTGTAAGCACGTAAACCAAGATCCTTCCGCAAAATGTTCCATAAAGTGGATGGACACAGATCCAATTCCTGTGCTCGATGGCGGATGGACTCATGCGGGTCTTCCTTTACAGCAGCAATAGCTTCTTCTGTACGCACCGTACGGCATCTCTGGGGATGCGAGTTATCAATAAGAGTAAACGTGGTGCGAAAACCTTCCATGGTTAATCGAATTAACTGCTCTGACGGACGATTTTGTCGACGATAAAGTGGACGTAGTGCGCGATATGTATTCCGCACAGAACCATTATTTTCGAAATAAAATTGCACTATTTGCAAGCGTTGTTCAGGCGTGAGTCTATTCATGATGAATTGCCAAACCAAACTGAGAATAAATCACTTGACAGGTATTAAATCGGTCGCCATCTTGAACAGTAATGCCAACTTAAAGTTCTATACATCGAAAAAAAAAACCATTAGTAGAATTTCTTGCGCTTTGTTTCTTCAAATACTTAACTTCTTGCTTTCACTGCTGTTTTTACTTTTTTCTTTGACGGCTCGTAAGATTACAACTGTTGGAGTTGTAATATTGTGTCAATATGCTATAAATATTTTTTCGTAAAACACAAAAGACTATATAACCTTGCATAGCACAATATGTCAACGAGACATCCAGCAACAAGTTGTTTCGTTTATTTTAGGGATTTGTTATCGACATGTGGCCATTGCGTTGCGGATCAGTAAATATTTCGGGTCGCTCAGTTTACCTTTCACCACTACTCAAACGAATCAAGGGAATTAGAGAAAATTTGCGGTATTGCTGTAACGGTTGACAGGATAATCGTTTTGATTAAAAGCACAGAAAGAGCATTAAAACCCGAATCCAACAGATGCAAACGAATAATCCACTTAGCCAGAGAATTTAAAATTTCTGACCCAATTGCTCAGTTAGCGAGGGCAAGCGCGATAAACAGGTCGGGCATTGGCTGCGGTGTCTATTTATCAGTGAAATCTGTAGCTCCGCCATTAGTATGCCACCATGCGGCGGTCCCCTTAGGCAAAGATATACGGCGGAGATAACCTGCAGAAATAAATCCGAGGATTAGTTGACGGGTGAGAATTGGGGGAGTCCCCAGGGTAGGTCTAGGCGGTCGACCAGACGGAAATAAACGTCGTCTGTTCTGTGGTATCGGTTGAATTTCTAAAGTTCGACCAGCTTGAGAGGATTTGGCTATTAATACTTGGAAAGCATAAGCAGGAGATACCTCGACCGCAGATGAGATAAAAATAGGTACCTTGTTGTAGCAAGACTTGCGAAAGCCTAAAATTTTGGAAATTTAAGGTGGTAATTTAAAGTAAATTTGGTGAAACATGAAGGAAAGATTTAAGGAAATGCCTAAATATTAAATACATTTGTTCTGTTAGACTCCACTTTAAAAATTCATCTTTAATCGGTTAACGGAACATTTTAATTTAGAAAATTCATGAATAGTCGGTTAGTTCGAAACATAAAGCTACTAGAGGTATTTAGGTATAATGCTAATACGAACTTATAAAGCAGTTATGAAAACATTTTCAAAATGCGCATAAGCGAGATTTAAAATTTCGTTTTTAACCAATATGCAAAAAGGAATTAAATGTATGGGTATCGCCGTTTAGAACAAAATTGTGCACGTTAGTGGGTGAAATGGTTCATTCCCATCGCTACGAACATAGTAGGGCACGAATTTTTCTACATAAAATAAATAACTTTACTTAAACAAGTTCCAAGAAGTACTTATTTTGTAGCGATAGAAAAAACGTCATCAGTTATAAACAGCGACCTGAACAATGGAGAAAAACAATAACTACTTAAGATTCATTTTGAACTTTGAATATGTTATAATGTTGATATGAAATGAACACCAGAATTTGTCTGGCTTAGATTCAGGAACGTATTTTGGGAAAAAGAATTAGATATTTTATCTATCTTATGTTATCTGAATCATGATCCTTAATCTTATCAACACTTTCAAGGAGGAACTTAATGAAATTGTAATAGAAATGTAGTTATTAATTATTTCATTTTGATATTTACAAGTTGGTGGCAGCTCGACGAATTATCGAAGGCTGAAAACATTTTAATTGTTACAAAAATTAAAAAACCCATTTGAATTAACGAAAAACAAGATTTTTATCGACGTTACTAAAACAAAAACCTTATCCTACCTACTAGCGATCCCGCGGGAAAATCTATAAAAAAATCTCCATTAACTTTAATTACGTTCAGTGCTTAGGCCCGGTCGATGTCATCATCTCGCAGTAATGTAGTGCCGTAAGATAAGGATACCAAGAATTAGGCGCAGATGGTCCATATGTAAAGATAATCCAGGATGTAATCCGCGAGGTTCCGCTGCTAATTGCGATAAGGAATGAAAATTGAGTTATATCTGGTGCGAAGAAAATTTTGCCCGGCTGGTAAAATCTAGTAAAACTTCGTCAGCCGCCGTTTTTTTTTGGACCAAGCTTTGTTATTTTCTTACGGGGAAACTTGCTTGGTACAAGTATTCACGAAACGATCCACATCGCAAAAATTTTAATTAAAATTTTCACTTAAGAAAAGAATCTAATTATTTCGTATCCCAGATCTGCTTTAATTTCGTTGCCAACTCTTTTAGCTTTACGCTTTTGCATATTTTTTGGCCCGTGGAAGAGAGACCGAAAGAAAATTCGCGGGCAAACTTTTAATAAAAATAATAACTTAATTATTTTATAATTAAAGTACGATCTATCGGGCAGTCCAACGAAGGCGATGTTATCCGTAGGGCTCTCTAATTTCGCATCAGAAATATTTTTTTTGGAAACTCAAGCAAGAGGGAGGTACCACCCAGTTCAATATGGCACATAATTGTAATCATTAAATAGATCCACTGCCCAGTACTTTTCTTTAAGGTTTCTGACCTTATTTCGTTTGATCCATTACCGAGCGAAAATGGTAACGGACTATTAGAAAGAAAAATAAATTTCAATTGTTAACACAAACGTATTTTTGATATGTAAGTCAAAAAGTGTTTTATATTTTTTTTGACCGATGCGATGTGCGTTCACTTTCGTATGAATAAT